GGTGATAGAAAACTTTATTTGCAAATTGTATCATTAACTGAACGTGGTCTTCAATTAGCTAAAGAAGAAATTGCTCGATTAATTAAAGAAGAAATGATGAAAATGGTAAGTTTGATATATAAATTTATGTTTTTTTAAAAATGATTCTTTTTTTTCTTCTTTTTATTAGCAAAATCCAGCTCTACAACTTGTCAATCATGGTCGTTATAAAGTGTAATTTTAGTTGTTCCTTTTCTTTTTTTCGTTTCGGACATACTATTTTTTTTTCTATATTTTATAAAAATGAATTTTGCATCTTTTTTTGTTGTTCGTTTTGACTTATCTATGAGGGAAGCTTACGATTACAGTTTATTTTTCTATTAAATTGGACAAATCATGTAAATTGTTTTCAATATATTAATCAGTTCAGAAGAAAAAAACATATTTTGGACATGTACAACTAAGGGGTGGGTGTGGGTGTGGCTGTGGCTGTGGCTGTTGTCTTCTCTTTATCGATACCCACATCCACATCCAACAGTTTTAGGAATACGTAAGTATAGTCGAATGGCGTATTCACCGCTTCATAACGGCAAGCACTTCTGGTCCAATCTACTCTACAGTAATTAGAAAACGAGTTTGAACAGTTTCATTGAGAACGACATTCACAGATGGACGAAGCGGTTCTCGCAGAACGTATGCGAATAGTGAAGAAACGCGTTCATGATCACGATGAAGCTGAGAATAAATTGCTTTATGCTTCGAAAATATCGAGCGTTCTTTGTATATCAAAACGTGCTTTTTTTTACTCAAAAACCCGTTCTTTATAACGAAAGCGCGTTCTAAAACGACGCTAAAATCCTCTAGCCAACGTGTTTTGTCTATTAGAAGAACGCGTTCTTGACCGTTCTTTTTTTGTCGTTTTGTGCAAGGGATGAACAAAACTTGTAGTGTATCAAACAAGTTGCTTGCTCACTTTAAACTATTTTCATTTTGCTCAGTTTAATTCCCTTGAATTTAAAATTTGCAGTTAAAAAGTATTTCAAAACATTATTTTATTAAGTAAAAAAAAGAACATCTTCTTTCTACTGGTGACATAAAACAAGAACAAAATTTTCCAGAAACTGTTATCAATCTTTTTGTTGTTTCTTGGCATAATGTGGAACAGTAGATATGCCAGTTACTTTGCGGAGAAACCAATCGACTATCGAAGCTGGTAGGCAAGATAGTGGAAAGAAAACATTCGATTGCCATCCAGGTCGATAATGAATATTTGGAGAAGTATTCATGATAGCATGTTCAAGAACTCGAACAACTTTCATCGGATCTTCAGCAAGTTTCACGAACAGGCTATTTTTTTCAGCATCTAATCTAGTTTTGAGGAAATCTTCTCCCCATCATTCTTGAGCCTCGTTTGAAATCGTAGTCGAAACTTCTTGAAATGATTTTAGCCTTTTCAGAATTGGTGTTTGCATAAATCCTGGCTCAATAGCACTAACACGTAACCCCCATGGAAACATTTCACGACGAAGACAATCAGAAAACGATTCCATAGCATGTTTCGATGCAGAATAAGCTGACATATTCGATAATGATATAAATCCAGCAGCAGAACAAATGTTAACGACGCGTGAGTCATATTTTGCGATAAGTAATGGTAGAAATTTCTTTGTCATTGCAACATGTCCAAAATAATTCACATCCATTACTCTACGCATGACGTCCATTGATGTCCAATCAATATAAGTTCCAAGAAGAATTCCAGCATTGTTAACAAGTCCATGTAATACAAGAGTTTTTTCTTTCACTAGTTCAAATGCAGCATCGATATCTTCTTGTTTAGTTATATCAAGTTGAAAAACAGTCGCATTTGATGAAAGTTTATTTTGCAGCGAAATTACGTTATTCGGAACGAAGACACCAGCGAGAACATGAAAACCTTTTTTATCAAGTTCAACAGCTAGTTCATGTCCAAAACCAGAATCACAACCACTGATGAGAACATATTTTCCACGAGGATCGATATTTAGTGTAGGAAAAAAATGTTGATATAAACGATACCCAGTGAAAAATATTCACGAAAAAAACGGCAAAGAACGCGTTCCAT